TATCTTCCTTCATATCTTAACATGTTTATTCACTTAACAGTTATTGAGCACCTACTGTACGTGAACACTACCTTATATAAAAAAGTACAATCGTGAACAAAATAGTCCTTGTTCGATATACAGCTTGTAATCTAATGGGGGAACAAGACAAACAATAATCACATAGATCATGGTTTTGTTTTGTTTTTTTAGATAGGGTCTCACCATGTAGTTCCAGCTGCCCTTGAACTCACTGTGTAGCCCAGGTTGGCCTTGAACGTCCATCCTCCTGACTAAGCTTTCTGAGTGCTGGTACTACAAGTGCGTGCAACAATGCCTGGTCAATAGATAATGTTTAACTGATTTCTTTTGGGTACCAGGGATTGAACTCTAGACCTTGTGCTTGCAAGGCAGGCGCAGTACCTCTGAGCTAAATCCCCAGCCCTTAACTGACTTATTTTTAAAAGTACAATATGAAATCATATAGAAAATCAAGCCTGGTGTGGTGGCACATGCCTGTAATACCAGCACTCTGGAGGCTGAGGCAGGAGGATCGCCAGAAGTTTGAGGTCAGCCTGGGCTACACAGTGATGCGTTCAATGACAACTTATAGAAACCTTGTCTCAAAACAAAACAAACCAGGGCTGGGGATTTAGCTCAGTGGTTTCGCCGCGCAAGCGCAAAGACCCGAGTTCGATCCCCGAGTTCAATCCCCGGTACCAAAAAAAGAAACAAACCAAAAAAAAGGCCTGACCATGTGTATGGATTAGGGAAAAACAGGGAAACTTACCTTGTCTAAATTATGATTGACTGCTTATCTGAAGTGTGACTGTAGTTAATTACAAACATATTGGGGAAGGAAGAAAACAGGCGCACTGCAGCCAAACGAAAACCACAAATGCTACATGCCTGAAGTGTTGGGGTTCTGAGATAAGAAAAAGTAGTACACAGTAACTAAGAACAAGAACTTTGGGAACAGACATCTTGGATACATCACTTATTAGCTGTGTGACAAAGGGCAAGTTACCCAATTACTTACTATCTCTGGGATTCAGTTTCTTGTTTTGAAATAAGGATAGGGGTATTTACCTTATAGATTTAATATGAGTTAGATCAGTTAATACACACAAATCGCTTCAACCAGTGTTTGACACATAGTAAATGATACATATGTCAATAATTAACATAGCTATTGTGAAGAAATCTAGTAAAATAAGGCCACTGTTGTTGCAGTGAGAAATTAAGCTGGAAAGACTGGCAGTAAGAGTTTTTCCTGGGGGTAATGGTGCTCATCTATAATCCCAGCTATTTGAGAGGCTGAGGCAGGAGGACTGCCAAACTCCAGGGCAGCCCAGGCAATTTAGAAAGACTACGTCTCAAAATAAAAACTAAGAAGACAAGCATGCCTATCTACACCTATAATTCCAACATTCTGGGAGGCGGAGGCAGGAGGATCATAAATTCAAGCCCAGCCTGTACAATTTAACAATTCAGACCTTGTCTCAAAAAATTAAAAAAAGGGCTGGGGATGTAGCTCAGTTTAAAGGCCCTGGGTTCAATCCCCAGTACGAAAAGGCAACAACAAAAGCAAAACTAAAAAGGGCTGAGAATACAGCTCAGTGGTAGAGTGCCCCTGGGTTCGATCCCCAGTATGGGGAGGGGGCGTTGTTTAAGCAGGGAATACTACTATAATAAACATCCAAGTGGTGAAATCCCTTCCCCTTCACATTGCCAATAGAACACAAACTCGGGCCAGGGATTTAGCTCAGTGGCACCGTGCCTGCCTTTCAAGCTCAAGGTCCTGAGTTTGATCCCTGGTACCGAAAAAAAACCAAAAAAAAGTAGAACACAAACTCATCTTATCAGGCTCCTCCTCTCAAATTTCCAAAGACTCTGGTCCTACTTATAGACTCCAGTTTTTTTTTTTTTTTCAGTATACTGTACTTTTTTTTTCTTTTTTCAGTACTGGGGATGGAACTACTTATAACCTACATGAGAAGAACCAGAACTTTTTATACAATTTTAAAGGCCTTTTTCATTTTTGGTTTTTTTTTGGTACCGGGGATCGAACTCAGGACTGTGCGTCTTCGAGGCAGGCGCCAGAACCACTGAGCTAAATCCCCAGCCCCATTGAAGGCCTTTTTCAATATCACTCTAATTTACCTTTATAGTCACTAAGTTAACCTATTTTCCAAACTATCTTCAACACTAATTTATATATACTTCATATTTTATAGATATAAATGTCTGTGTTCTCAATACTCTGACAACACTACACCTTTCTGGTTCTCTCCTTACAGCAATTCCTTTTCTCATGTTTAGCTGGAAATCTAATACTGTTACAGTTCAAGGCATTTTCAACCAGTTTAGTCTCTTCCCAACTATATTAGAATGCCTGCATTGCTACAAAATCTTCAGAAATCTGCAGCTGATATGACTTTATACAACAATTCAAATATATATTTTTCCTTCCTACTTCAAAGCTTGTTTCTTTCCTCTAAAGTACAATGCTAAAGCCCCAAATTCCCTTTATAAAAAATGTAAAGATGGGCCCGGGGATTTAGCTCAGTGATGCCACTGCCTGCCTCGGAAGCGCAAGGTCCTGAGTTCAATCCCCGGTACCAAAAAAAAAAAAAAGGAAAGATTTTAAAGGTACAGCTTGTCATCCCAACTATTTGGGAGGCTGAGGCAGGAGGATTACAAATTCAAGGCCACCCTGGGCAACTTAGACCCTTTCTCAAAATAAAAAGAGCTGGGGGTGTAGTGCAGTGGCAGAGCACTTGCCCAGTATGTGTGAGGCCCTGTGTTCAATCCTTAGTATCAAAAAAAAATTTTTTTTTAAGGCAATAAAACCCTAAGTCAAACCAAAAGTCAGGATCACTCCATCAAGAGCACCACTATAACCAAACATTAAATGTCTAGAAGTCAGAATTTAAGGCACAGGTTATTTATTTATTTATTTATTTTTTGGTACCGGGGATTGAACTCGGGTCCTTGCGCTTGTGCAGCAGGTGGTGAAAACACTGAGCTAAATCCCCAGCCCTTAAGGCGTAGGTTCTTAACCAGAGGTCCATGGACTCCTCAGGGCTACAAGGTAGTTTTATGAATCCCCTCAAATTGCATGCAAAGTATGTGTACATGCCTTTTTCTGGGGAGAGGGTCCATACCTTTCATCAGAGTCTCAAAGATATCTGTGACCTCCAAAAGGTTAAATGCTCTAGAGAAAAAGCAAAGACAAGCAAATGTGATTAAAGAGTGAGTCCTCTTTAGGCCCTCAGGAATGTCTCATGTTCTTTGTAACACCTGAAATCAGGTCAGAGGATGTTATGTAAAAGTGACTTATCCAATCAAATGCAAATTTAATATAGACCTAATAAATACTGACTTGATAAAGTCCACAAACCAATACAAAAATCCATAAATGCAAGTTATAGGGCAGCTGGTGACTTACTCCAAGATTTCAAAAATGGGACAAAGAAAATAATAATCTTTTATTAATATTTTTTTATCTCATTCACCTAAAAACTCCTTTTCTGTGTATGTTTTATACACAGCAGTACAAAAGTACATAAATTGTACATATATATAAAAAGCTGCTCAATTTTTGTTAAATATTAGGCCACTCCTGTAATCTACATATTCTAGTACCAACAAGTTAATATAACTCTAGAATAATACAAAAACCAAAAACCCATTAGCACAGTTTAGAACCCATCAGTTAATATATTATCTTTCACGGAAAAACAAATTACTGTCCTCTAGTGATTAAAGATAGGAACTCTTCTTACAATTATTCCATCTATCTTCTCATTGTCGTTGTTGTTGTTGTTAAAGCTCATCATCCATTAACGTTTAAAAGATCAATTTTCAATTTCATCTAAATCACCCTGGTTTGTCCAAGGTTCCCTGGATAACATAACCAAAACATCCAATGGGAAAACTACTTGTGAAACCACAAAGAGACAACTAATCAAGACAGGCTCTTAATTTTTCCTAAAAGAAACTACTCTCCTTCCAGCAGAATAATAATCTAAGCCTAAGAAAGCTCCCAAGATTCCCAAAAGAAAAAATTTAAAACACAGGTAACTCCTGTGATTCAGGGATGCAGGGTCTATCCATGATACCAAACAGGACAGATAATCCAAACCTTGAAACTGTTTTTCCAAAATACTATAGCTATTTCTCTTTCGCTGGAGGTTGGGGGAGCATTGGCAGATAACCTCATAAGAGAATTAAAAAACCTTTAAAGCTTAAGTGTTTATATTTTTACAAATTCTTGCCGATCGTAGTGGCGCACGCCTGAAATCCCAGCACTCGGGAGGCAGAGGCAGGAAGATCGCCGTGAGTTCGAGGCTAGCCTGGGCTACATAGCGAGTGCAGGGCCAAAGCGAGACCCTGTCTCAAAAAAACAAAAACAAAACAAAACAAAACAAAACAAAAAAATTATTAAGGTTGCCTCAACTTCCGACTTCTATGAAGAAGCCTCTCTTCTGAGGCCTCTCCCTGCCTTCAAAATTCCCCCAGGGGGCGTAACCCTACCTAGAATAAGGGAATGAAAGCATTTTCTGGATCCTGTTTGGGACGTATTCAGATATAAAAAAGCAAAAATGCTATCATCTGCTAACAAGGGAATCTCAGCTTTAGACAATACACAAGAAAGCATTAATCATGGAAAGAAAGCTCCTGAGTCCGGCAAGAGCACGGAGGAGGGACCACTGACGTAACGTAGCTCTGACAAGAAATGAGAAAAGGCAGAAGGCGCTTGTACAGCCCGTTGGAGAAGAGTGACGGACAACATAATGGTGAGGCGAACCAAAATAATGGGTAAAGACAGAAAAAACAAACAAACGTGAGACGACATGGGAAATTAAGGAAAGCAGGCACAAAAGAACTACGGCGGAAGTCGGGAAACGAAGTGGAAAAGGCTGCAAGGAGAACACGTAGGAAAAAGGGGGCAAGCCACCCTATACAATTCAGTCCCCAAAGAAGCCCACCTCAGTCCTTCCCCCGCCTGAGAGTACCTTCAATTTATGAAGCTCCACCGTCTCCGCCGCCATCTTGTTACCCTGCCACTCCACCGGCCCCCACCCGCTTCCTCCGCCCCCAGAAGCTCCCGCCTAGACGTAGGCCCAGGTCTGACCAATCGTTGCTTGTCTTACTCCCACCCCAGTATCATCAGCTCTTCTCATTCGTCAAATGCCGGCGTCAGTCCCACGATTGAGCGACTTTTCCCAGCTCTCCCAGGAGGCGGGACTGAGAGGAGGGCGGGCTCTGCATGTTCCGAATGACAGAGCGACCAATTGTATCCACTTATTGCAGACCGCCAACCAATAAGTGAGAGCAGTGATGAACCAGCTCCTCCAATAGAAAGAGCGCACAGACCAGGGGGCGGATACTTCCTGGAGACCGAAGCGCCTCACCCCAACACCGGCTCTTGAGGCTGGCAGGTAGGGGCTGCCGATTACATCGGAAAGGGCTGTTGGGGGTAAATGGCGGGAGGCATAAAGGGGAGTGAGAAGGCAGCTAATTAAATACTGAGAAGAGTGCTGAAGGAACCCTGAAAGGAACTGAAGCGAAAGAGGGAAGCTGGGAGGGGCACTGGGCAGGATTAATATCAATGTTTAGGGAATTTTGAGGCGGGCGTCATCTCCTTTAGAGCTAGTATAATTTTAAAGAGACAATTTCACAAAACAGTCCCGCCCCCAAGCAGGGTTAGAGCTCTATTTCTTCAAGCACTGAGTTTGGATGACTTTCTTGTTCAATTCGGAAACCGTGGGCAAGTTCTTGCAGCGCCCCACGCTTAAAACAAGGAATGGGGTTGTTGGTTGCCGACATGCCAAGCGGGTGAGAGCTAGGGCAGACAAGCCCCAGAGAAAAGGGTGGGGACTAGAGGTAGTTTTACTCTCATCCCTTCTGATTGGTCTTGATTGACCCTGACTCTTCTGTAACTCTGGCCGTATGGAATCTCTTCCCGATTCATTCTTGACTTCTTCTCGAAAGTTAAGTGAGACACTGTTTACCCATTTCCTTAAGGTGGTACCCCAAGCCTAGGCTTTTTCCTTCATGTTAGTTAAAATGTAAGGATCTGAGTAAGAATGTCCCCAAAAGCAGGGAAGGCTCTTCTTGTATTTTAAACTTGTCTGGGTTTTTTGAGACAGGGCTTCATATTTACATAGTTCCGGCTGGCCCTGAACTCACTATCTAACGAAGGCTGGCCTCGAACTTTCAGTGATACTCCTGCCTTAGCCTCCTGAGTGCTGAGACTGTTGGCATGTGCCCCCATGCCCATCATCTTTTACATTTTTTCCAAAGTCTTCAGTGTTTCCTTTCTGGAAGTTCTTTCATTCCTGCTGGAGTTCAGAGGGTTTTGGCTTTTCAGGGAGATTAACTGGGGGAAACACACTCCAGCGGTTGAGAAGAAATTAAGTTGGATCCTGCCTCATCCCCTTATTGTGGTAGGATGAATGTGGGGGTGGCACACAGTGAAGTAAACCCCAACACGCGAGTGATGAATAGTCGGGGCATCTGGCTGGCCTACATCATCTTGGTAGGACTGCTACACGTGGTTCTACTCAGCATCCCCTTCCTCAGCATTCCTGTTGTCTGGACTCTGACCAATGTAATCCACAACTTGGTAAGTACTAACCCACACCCTTGTATCGACCTCAAGCTTTTCCCAACCAAAAACAAAATAAAATCACCAAATGTTTATGGATTTAGCATAATTCTTGGGCTGAAGGACTACTCTCTGCCCCTGACACTGTCCCTTTCCCTCTTCTCAGGCAATGTATGTCTTCCTACACACAGTGAAAGGAACACCCTTTGAAACCCCTGACCAAGGAAAGGCTCGGCTACTGACACACTGGGAGCAGATGGACTACGGGCTCCAGTTTACCTCTTCCCGAAAGTTCCTCAGCATCTCTCCTATTATACTGTGAGTCTGTGGTGGGTAGGGGAGATGCTAGGTTAGCAACAGTGCCAAGAACCAGGTAGAAAGGCCCATAGCAAACCTTTAAAAAAGCAGCCAGGCATGGTGGCGCACACCTGTAATCCCAGGACTTGGAAAGCTGAAGCAGGAGGATCACCTGGAGTTCAAGGCCAGCCTGAACTACATAATGAGACCCTAGGGCCAGGGATTTAGCTCAGTGGTTCCACCGCCTGCCTGGTAAGCGAAAAGACCCGAGTTTGATCCCTGGTACCAAAAAAAACCATAAAACAACTACATAGTGAGACCCTGTCTCGAAAAACAAAAGCGGTACTCAAAGTTAAGTTCCTTGGAAGATATTATAGTATACTAGTTCTGACCCTATAGAGAGCAGTGAAAAGTAGAAGATGGTAATCAAACACTCCTTGCTGCATCCTTGGTAATAGAGGAATGGAGAAGGGACTGAGAAAAGATAAAACAACTAAATCCAAGTGGCTTTACACTTCCAAAAGAAGTGAGTATATAAAGGTAGAACTGATAAATTAATCTTCAGAAACTGGAGAATGAAAGCAAAGAGGACTATGAACAGTCATACAGGCTAAAACAGCTTTAGCTGACATTTGTCATTAACAATTAAATACAGACTTGTTTATAATCTTCAGTTAAAGGTGCTGTCTGATTATCTCAACCCCAAAAAGCTGACAATATACCTGGAACATTCTCAGATATCTAAGAACTACATGCAGTAAAACTGATGGTTTAAAATAGATTGCTGGAAAGACCTGAATGTGTATAGGAAAGGCCAATCTCACTGGTCCTATTTTTCTCTCTCCCAGCTACCTCCTGGCCAGCTTCTACACCAAGTATGATGCTGCCCACTTCCTCGTCAACACTGCCTCACTGTTTAGTGTACTGCTGCCCAAGTTACCCCAATTCCATGGAGTTCGTCTCTTTGGCATCAACAAATATTGAGGGATAGGGCTAAGGAAAACTCCATAGGGATGAAGAAGGCACTGGAACAAAGGACCGAAAGAAATATCTTTCCCTTCTCCAAACTATCTTCTGTTTCGTGAAAGCCTGAAAACTACACCTTTCCCAAACTCAGGAAGAGAAGAGGTTGGAAAATGAGACCCTTGGGTCCAGCCCTGCTAAGAGGAAGATTTTTTGAGTCAGGAAAGGCAAATGAGGTTAAAAGCCAAAATACTCTATAACAAGAAGCCATATTTGGGCAATTTGGTGATTATTTCCCATATTTTTCACCTCTTCAATTTTCCTGCTCTGTTTTGCTGTGTATTTTTCTTATAATAAAGATAAAGATAATTTTTTTTCAGCTATGGCTGCAATTTGATCAGCAAGAAGGATAGAGAAGCCAGATGAGGTGGTACACACCTGTAATCCCAGCACTCTAGGAGGGTGAGGCAGTGGGACTACAAATTCAAGGATCCTTAGTGAGACCCTGTCTTAAAATTGAAAATGGCTAGAGATATATGTCAGTTAAAAGGCTCTGGATCCAATCCCCAGTGCTGGGGGAAAAGTAGGGAGATGTGCTCATAATGCTGGGGAAGAAAGATGGAATACTAGCTTACTGTTCAAAACTTCAAGCAATTTTTTATCCTTTGGCTCAGTAGTAGGTGCCCTTTACTTTCAGGAAACAGTAGGGAAGGATTATCAAGTGAGAATAAGGGCCCAAGCTATATGGGCAAAAAAGACAGGAAAGATACAGGTTGCCAGTTATATATTTATAGAAAGATAATCCCCTGGCTTTAAATAGATATGTACATACAAATATGAACAAACTTAAAAAAATACAAACCCTTGGATAACAAGGGGGCTTGTGAGAACTCCCTTGTCATTCTCCCTTACCCAAGGGCAGAGGGCATGAGTCTGCTTTTTAAAAGTTATTAATTTTGGCCATTCTTGCACCGATAAGCCTGCAGTTGGGTGATTTACCCACAAGGTGAAAGTCGGAAAAAAATTCAGAGTTTCCACTTTCTGAACTCTGCATCTCCACAATTAGGGCTGCATGCTTCCTTGTTCTGTCTTTTAACTAGTTGACCAGGGTAATGGAGACTCCCCCCTAAAATGGACCCAGAAATAAGATAAACTCATAGTTTAAAAGGGCGAGGGACCATCTGCTCTAAAGGCAAATGACAAGACAAAGGCATACCAACCCCAGAGAAATACTCCCCACCCCTTAAAGGGATATATTGTCCAGCCCAGGTCCAGGCCCTAGGTTCTTTGCTCTAGCCATCCCTATTTCTTTGGTATTGTCAGAAGACAAGATTCAGTTCCTGGATGCTAGGGAAGAGGGACAGTGGTTTAGGGGCTGCCTAAAGTACTAGTGAACAATTTAAGCTTAAAATTTTCCCTTTTTAAAATCTTTAAAAATAAACAAATCAAACTCCATTCTGCGCTGTACACAGCCCTTTTGACTCCCTGACATTGATTCGAGGAAAGCTGAGAAGGGGAGTCAATGTTGGAAGGGCCTCCTCACTTTCTTCCGCCTCTTCGGTTTGGCTTCTCCCTTGGGTACTGTGCTGTTGGGCTTGGAGGCTGCAGTGGCCCCAGAGCCAGGCTGAGGAGCTCCAAAGAAGTTCCCCTTGGACATCTGGCCTGGGGGTACTTGAAAGATTCGGCTCAAGAAATCCTGAAGGTCAGCAGGAGGGGCATCTGAGGGGGCTCTAAGAAAAAATACACGGCAAGAGGTGTTAAAAAGTCATTTAGCTGCTTTTGTTAAAGATAATAGTCAATTCTCAAACTTCTTTAAAAGTAATGCATTCAATGTATTTCCTGGAAAATAAGACCAGGTCTTATATTAGTTTTTGGTTCAGAAGATCCAATAAGACTTATTTTCAGGGGATGTTTCATTTTTTCATGTAAAATAATCTATTCATATACAAAAATCTGTATTTATAAGGCCAGGGATTTAGCTCTGGTTCCGCTGCCTGCCTTGCAAGCACAAGATCCCGAGGTTCGATCCCCGTTACCAAAAAAAAAATCTACATTTATTAAAATATAGTCATGTCATTTTCTAGAACATCATCATAACTCTAAACCCCTAATTCCAGCCTGAATTTCTTACAACTCCATTTCCTGTAGAACCTTTGGCCTCAATCTCATGTCTAGCAATAGACCTCTTCTTAAATGAGTACTTCTTGTCCACGTAGCCTGCTCATAGTACATCATTACAACTCATGACACTGAATTATAAAGATTCATATTAGGGCTGGGATTTAGCTCAGTGGCACTGTGCTTGCCTCACAAGTACAAGATCCTGAGTTTAATCCCCGGTTCCAAAAAAAAAGATTCACACTAGATACAACCATGTCCGTTCATTATCAGATGTGCACACTGTGCCTTGTGTTTGTACTTTGTTCATTAGTTAAGTCTCAAGTTCATCTGTTTACAGCCAGGCGCGGTGACACACACCTGTAATCCTAGTACTTCGGAGGCTGAGGAGGAAAATTTTTTTGGAGGAAAATTGCTCTGAGTTCAAGGCCAGCTTGGGCTACACAAAGAAATCCTGTCTCAAAAAACAAAAAAACTGGGCCGGGGATTTAGCTCAATGGTTTCGCTGCCTGCTGCACAAGCGCAAGGACCTGAGTCGGATCCCCAGTACCAAAAAAAAAAAACCCTACTTAGGTGTTTACCTCTCATCCAAAGGTGCCTGCTGGGGTATTTACAAATAATTATAATTTATATTATCATTAAGTATTAATGTCAGTATTATGTATTTATATTTAACCATATATTAATATTATTTTATCATGCAATACATCTGTCATGTGTTGCAACAGACATACTAAATGCATCTATCTGGCTAATGATCTTAATTGGGGCTTACTTTGGGGGTAGGGTATGTATCACGAACATCCTTTTTGCCTTTTTTTTTTTTTTCAGACAGGGTCTTGCTATGTAGTTTAGGCTGGCCTTGAGCTGACTGTGTAGCCCAGGCTGGCCTCAAACTCACAGCAATCCTACCTCAGCCTCCAGAATGCTGGGATTACAGGCCTGCACCACCATACCCAGCACAAGCATCCTTAAAAAATCATATCAGGACTCATTTTCTGGTTAGATATTATTTTGAGGGAAATACTGTATGTGTCCTTAACAGCAGCCCATCTGAAACCACATTCAAAACTGAAATAGTGCATGGATAATTAAGAAAAATACCACCTACCTCTGCCGACCACTGGTGCTTGGGATCCGAGAGCCAAATGAGATGTGATAGGGAACTCTGTGGGTATCTGGAGAGATTCCCACACGTTGACATCCAGCCCACTCTGCAAAAAGAAAAGATAATTAGTGAAAATGATCAAAGCTTTGAGCAAGGTGTGGTGGCACACACCTGTAATCTCAGCACTTTGGAGGCTGATGCAGAAGGATCACTGGAGTTCAAGGCCAGCCTGAACTACATAATGAGACCCTGCCTAAAAAAAAAAAAAAAAACTTAGAGCACAGGAGATGATGCCATATTTCTCCAGATCAGACATAAACCTGTGACCCAGCGAGGTGGTACACACCTGTAATCTCATTACTCAGGAGGCTGAGGCAGGAGGACTGCTGCAAGTTCAAGACCAGCCTGTGCTACATAGTGAGCACAAGGCCAGCCTGAACTACATGGCAAGACCCTGGGTCAAAAAAACAAAAGTATACCTGTGATGTCATAGACTTTTCCATCCATCAGTGCAAAGTAAGTGATCTTGAGCCCCAACATGCTTGACTCTGCCCAAAAGTCTCCTTCCTCAGCAGGATGCAGCCTATTACACTCAGCACAGTATCTGGCACTCTTAGGTTCCCGGTCCATTTCAAACCTCCTGCAAACCAACAAGGGTAGTTCCTTAATACTTCAAGTCTACTTAGGTCATTGCTAGTAGTTTCATCATTTCTGTCAAATATTGCCAAAATACTTAATCTCCATTGTTGTTGTTGTTGTTTTTCTTGGTACTGGGGAATGAACTCGGGTCCCTCCACTTTCAAGGCAGGCAGCGGAACCACTGAGCTAAATCCCCGGCCCTCCACTGTTGTTATATATGCTTATATATATAACCTGCCCTCAACTTTCTATCTTAAAGCTAATCTTCTTTTCTTTTCTCTTTTTAATTTTTTTTATGATTTTTGGTACTGGGGATGGAACTCGGGACCTTGTACTTTCGAGGCAGGCAGCAGAAACACTGAGCTAAATCCCCAGCCCACATAATCTTCTTTTCTTACTGCTAATTTGAATCTTTAATCTCTTGATAGAAGGGCAAAAGTAGAAACCTTGGGGTCTTTTTCTCATGGTGTCCAACAATTACCAATAAAATAAGGAATGTCTTGAGTTACCTAATCTCTAAACTGTGGGCATCCCACCCTTGTCCTATTTCATACCTATGCTTCCCTTGGCATCGACTACACATCATAGTATTCATTGCTTCCTTGAGGTCATCTTGCAGCTTGGACAGAAACTCATTCACTGACCGGCTCAGCTCATTCTCTGCCATTCGTTTCCTAAAAGAAAGGCTTTGTAAGTCAAATGGTATTGAGGGAGGGACAAAGAGACAGCTCTATTCACCTCTTGAGGCTCCTGGCTAGATATAAAGACAAACCATGTCAGTTCTCTCTACCTCTGTTTCTATCCACAAGTTCAATGGCCTCTCCTATTGAAGACTTTTCATTTTACCTCTCCTGACAGTTTCTCATCTAACTTACATCTCATATTCTCTCCGCCTTTCAGGGTTGCTGACAATGTCCCAAGCTGCCCTTAAAACCTTGAAGGCCTCCTCAGCCCGGGGATGATGATTTTTATCAGGATGAACCTACCAAGACAAAGAGAAATTTCATCACAAATTGCAAATGGGTCTATTCCCAGATCAAAGGGTTCTCTTTCATCACAATTTTAGAGAATCAATATAGCTTAATGATTACTCCGGTTCTGCAGACAGATCTGGGTTCAAGTCTGAGCTTTCACTTAGCTCTATGACTTTGAATATTTTACCTACAATAGAATTTTGGGAGGATTAAATAAGAATATGTATGAGATATATAGGACAGAATCTGGCACTAGAGTGATCCACCATTCCATTTGGCTTGGGACTGTCCCAGATTAACACTGAAAGTCCCACATGTCAAGAAACACCACATACCCAGGCAAACAGGGATGGCTGGACACTCTAACTGGCACACAAATACTAAGCCCTCACATTTTAGTTTTATTACCAATTATAAAGAATTCCAAAATGTCATGTTCAAACTCATTATTTTCCAACTATAAAATTTTCATACCCAAAACTTCATATAAGTCTTCCTTTCAGTCCCAGAAATGAAATAGCATATTGTGATCTGAGGCTTATAATATAAATTTCAGCCTTTTCTCCATGACAATTAACCTTTCTTCTTACAGCTTCCTCATTGTTCCCATCCCCACACCCCAAAAATGAAGCTAAGTGAGTCTCCTTGCTAAGGCCAAACACAAAGAATGTTGTTAAACTTATATTCTCTGCTAGGTGTAGTAGCACATGCCTATTATCCCAGCCCTCAGGATGCTGAGACAGGAGGATCACAGTGATTTTGAGGCCAGCCTGAGCTACTGGCTACATAGTGAGTTCAAGGCCACCCTGAACTAGTGATTCCTGTCTCAAAAAACCAAACAAACAAAAAAATCTACCTACATTATCAAGCTAATATAAACCAGGCATAGCGGTGCATGCCTATAATCCTAGCACTCTAGGAGGCTGAGACAGGAGGATCACAAGTTTGATCTCAGCCTGGGCAACTCAACAATTTAGCAAGACTCTGTCTAAAAAATAAAAAGCCAAGGTCCAGGGATTTAGCTCAGTGGTTCCGCTGGCTGCCTTGGCAAGGGCAAGGTCCGGAGTTCGATCCCTGGTACCAGAACAAAACAAAACAACAAAATAAAAAAATTAAAAAGCCAGGCGTGGTAATGCATGCCTATAATCCCAGCACTCAAGAGACAGAGGCAGAAGGACCATAATAGTTTCAAGGACAATCTGGGCTAAATAGTTCAAAGCCAGCCTGAACTAAGACTCTGTCTCAAAACAAGTAATAAAATAAAGTGCTGGGGATGTAGCTCAGTGTGAATGCCTTGGGTTCAACCCCCCAGTTCCAAAAGAAAAAAAAAAGCTAATATATTTATACCAGCCTTTTAGATATGTTCACAATGGGGTCTAGTAAGGTCAGCAAGTTCTATAAAAGAAACTACCAGGAACACTGGCCCAGAACAAGAGAAAATTTTAGGACAGAGGGGAAGGTATGCAAAAGATGGGAGACCTTAACTACATATCTACTCCAAGTTGAAATTTTTTCAACTAAGTTGAAAAATGAAAATTTGTCTCTTAATGATAATCTCCAAGAGATGATATCTGTTAAAGCAGGTGAAAGTGAGAAAAGAGCTCTAATATTAGTAACAATTTGAGGGTAAGTACTTTTTATCTACTCTAAGAACATCCCAGTTCTCCACTAAGGAGCAAGTATTTTCCACCAAATTAAATCAGTTCTTTGGTAAGATACAAGGCTGGAAGTTTATTGTACCTTTAATGGCTAAGTAAAACCTTGGTTGCCCATTTCTCTTTGGTGTCATACAGCTATTGAGGTAATTTGTATACTGTGATTTTTTTATCAATCGAGCTCTATACACTCAATAAAAGTAGGCGTCCAATACATTCTAAACACATTACTTACATTCATAATGTAGTTTTACTTGTACAGAAATAGCAGTAACAATCATGTATCCAAAAATAGCAACTTAATATCTACTTCTAATATTAATTTGAATGTCTGCATTAAACTACAGGTATTTCCTTCCAGCCTTTAAGGAATGGTACATCATGATTCCCACCTGTACATGCCCTTATCATTAAAAGCAATGATATTTTCATGTATGACATACACAGGCATAAATAAATCTCCCTATGATTTATGTCCCATTTTCCTTCCCTCTTTTGAGCTGCTGGTCTTAAGTGGCCTGTTTTCTTCTACCTGATCCTGGTATAATCATCACGTGCACTCCCTGATCTTTCCCACACTAGGTCCACACTTGCCTTTCTAGAGGAGATAGCCGGGTTTTCCCATGTTTAAAAATCCCTTCTCTGGGCTGGGGATTTAGTTCAATGGTTCCACTGCCTGCTCCACAAGCACAAGGACCCGAGTTCAATCCCCAGTACCAAAAAAATAAATAAATAAATAAAAGACAAATCGAAAAATCCCTTTGTTCAGGGGAGAGCAATTGAGATGCCCTCTGAATAGGCCTCTTCCCCAACACAAAGTTAAAGGGACTTTGTCTAGCTTGTCAACACTACCTGTTGTATTGGGTTCCAAAAAAGAAAGTTTAAAAAAAATCTTATGACAAAAGATTTATGACGGAGGGAAAGTCAGATCCCACAATAGAGAGAAAAAAGTCTTTATGACTCTTTCCTACAAATGTTACCCTTCGCCTTCTAGCTGACTTTTCTGTTCTGCCTTCCCTGTATTCTACTCTCCCCAAAACTGGGGTAAAAAATAAAATAGGAACAGAGAGGAACAGGAAACTGAGAGGAAGTACTCACCATCACTGCCAGCTGCCTATAGGCCTTCTTTAGTTCAGTATCTGATGCTGTGGCTTCAACCCCCAGCACATGGAAAGGGTTTAGCTCATCCTCAGGAACCCCAGCCATGGTCAAGAGTCGAGCCACTTCCTCTTCAGGCTGGCAGTACCGCCCACTAGCTACAGGTGCATTCCCTTGGCTATTAGTCCTCTGCTTGAACCAGGGCAACTCCAGCCAACCCCACTGAACTATTCTTACCAGCTGCTGCCATGGCCTACTATCTCTCAGCAGAGTGAAGCAACGCTGCAAGGTGGGAGAATCCAGCCATGAAAACAGCCTGATGGCCTTATCCCTCCAGCCCAAGAGGTCACCCAGGCCCACCAGAAATTGCCAGCCCAACTGGAGACAGCCCAAAAGGAGGGCCAGACCCAGGAGCAGCAAAGCACCCATTAGCCTAAGAAAACGGGTGAACAGCCCTGCCCCATAGTAAAACCCCTGGTTTAGAAATTGGAACACTACCTGGACCCAGCCCCCCAGCCGTCCTGCCCAGGCTCCCACCCAAACTCGACAAAGTTCCAAATCACTGGCTTTCAGCTGCCTGCATGCATAGATGAGATGGCCACAAGTTTCCACGTACTCTCCCACCAACACCAGCAGTTCAATCAACCACCAGAAGCCTGCCTGTCCAAGCTGACATAGTTCTTCTGCTCCCCACAACCCCAGGCCTCTGCGCTTATCTGTCTGACTTCGTTTCCGGCCCAGCCGATGTCGGCCAGGGGCCCTGGGATCTCGGCGTCCACTCTCCCGATTATCCTCCTTGGTCAGAAAGCGATGCCGCTGTCTCCGGGATGGTGGCTTTTTCCCGCTGGACACCCGTGAAAATTCACTTGGAAATTTAAGAGGTTCCTCATCGTCATATTCCTCTTCCAATTCTTCATCTTCCCCCAAGGCTGGAGACGTACAATGGCGGCAAAAATTGCTAGAAGAGCCATCTCCCTCAGAGTAAGGCTCTTGTGGGATTCCAGGGGTTCCCTGGCAGTTACAAGCAGATGGAATGGAAAGAAAAGAAGGGTTCCCATCCTCGTGGTACCCAGCCTCACTCTTTGAGAGTTCCTGGTCCACTCCTGACTCTTCTGAAGATACCTCACTCTGATCAGGGTCCTCTCCTTCCCTAGGTGGTCCTGGACCCCTTGGGGAGCCATGGCTTGGATCCGACCAGTGGGCGGGATTTGGGGGCTGTGTGTACTTAAGACCAGAGTGCTCTGTGAAGCAGCGGGTACCATTAGGAGCAGTCCCTGTTGAGTCCCTGAGTCCTGAGAATGCAAATATTTCAGGATCCGCGGTGGGTCCTAAAGTCCTGAGGGAGGCACCACCGCTGTGGTGGGCTCCACACAACCCTCTTTCTCCCGGGTGCTTCTGGGCCATGACCCGGGGGCTTCCGGAGGGTTTTAGGTCACAGCCATCATGGTACGTTCTGGTGCCTGGAACAAAGGTATTAAGGTGGGAATAGTCAAGCATGGGACCAAAGGGGAGTTAATCTTAAATTGGGGATATATTTAATGTACTCTCCTTCCTCGTTATCCCAAATTCCCTTTGGGGCATTCACTAACCCTAATAATAAGCCAGAACCAGAGTAACCACAACCCTTCTTGGATCCTAGGCCCTCCTCCAAATCTTAGTTTTTCTTCTTTCTCCAGGAAGCCATAATCTTCAATCGGGGAAAGAGAGGTACTGCAAAGGGTGTGGTCCACGGGTCACTCGTGGGAAAAAGGTAAAGACAGCCGGAAAGCAGGGAACCGCAGACGGTCAGAAAAGGGTGGGGACCGTGCGGCCCTAAAGGAAAAGCTGGGGACGGAGTTTAGGGTTCCCTCAGAGAGCCGACTGGCTAGAAGGGGCTAAAGTAACGTACCGAAGAGCGGCGGTAACTCCTCCCCCTCGAGCAGCTGGGCCTTGGGGCCAGGGGGAGCTACGAGAGCAGCTCCCCCGGCTCCGCCTCCCGCTCACGCTCTGCTTCCTCCTTCCGTCCCCGCCGCGGCCGCCGACATGCACCGACTTCCACTTCCGGGGTCACCAGGGAAGCGACGGGAAGGAGAAGAAAAAGCAGTTGGCTCGGGCGAAAGCCAGTCCACCTAGCGCTGAATCAAATCAGAGGAGGCAGCCCTCGAGCACACCGGCCCCGCCCCTTAAAGGGCCCTCCGCGTACGGGATGGCTGTGCTCGCAGATGGCGCGGCTGGAAGCGAAGCCAGGGCGATCTGCCGCAGTGCCTGCGGGCTGGGGGCCGAGTCTCAATAGTTATTCCGGCTCTACTCCTGAGCTTTACCGACAATGGGAGGTGGAGGACAGCCACTGGGCCGTACAGAGTCTGTTTCCCTCACAGACAAGACGAGGGGTCGCAGAGGAAGGAACCACCGCCCTGATCCCTTCCCTACCGGCTGTAGCTAGAACTGAGGACCCTTTGTATCCGCGAAGGTGGAGCGGAGGAGAAGATGCCCCGGGCTAGCCCCCGCCCAGGCTCTGCAGCGCAGCCCCTCCTCTCCCAGCAGCCTTCGGCCTCCACCGCGGCTGACCCAGCTGACGAGCTTTCCCTTATAACTGCAGCTCCCACGCCGCGGATCCGCTCCCTCGGGACGCGGTTCCTAGGCCTGATCACAGAACAAGGCCAGAGGACTAGCAGCGTAGCTCCCCTGGGCTTAGAACTGGAGCCGAGTGCAACAGAACACTGCACTCATCTGTATCCTGCTTTGCATTTCATTTGCATACCAAGCCTTTCCGCCGACGTTGACATGCGCCCCCGCCCCCATGAAGACCCTGGGTTCCCTCCACTGCACATTTTCCAGTCTTACAGTTCTGTCCTTGCCCCTTTTCCATGCAGACCCCGTCTTGCTCCGCAAGTTTTTCCACCCATAAACCCCTCGCCAGCTTCCCAAGACCAGTAAAGTCCCCTTCCCCAGCGGGCCCCCCCCTCCCATCCCGACCACCCGGTTCTCCAGGAGACAATACTCCAATTCGCTGGGAAGTGGAAGAAACCAAGCTGGAGCTAGGGGGGAGCTGGGACCCCAGTTGGGACTTTCAGAGCTTCACGTTGTGGAGTTTTCTGCAAAGTATTCAGAGACGTTTCCCCAAACTTCTTGCTAAGTCCCCAAAGACTCTTCTCTGCTGTGGTTGGGAGTCTGGTCCTAGAGTAGAGCAGTAAGCCACTATGTCCCCCCACACAGAGAGGAAAGGGTTGGAGGGGCCCGCCCCGTGATGTCACCCCCCCCAACACACACCCTGTCCCCTTCCTCCGCGCTCCCCCGACCCCGCCCCCCGGCTGGTTGCTTTTAGCTCACAGGGCTTGGGCTACGACTTGCAAGAGTTTTTAGGAAGCAGCGAACAGAGTGGCCCTGGGGGTCCCCACGCCCGACATCCGCCCCGGCACCTAGGACCTCTAGGGGATGAAGCTGGGGGTCTAGGGAAGTACTTCCACCCCCTCCTTTCCTCAGCTTTGGCTGGGTGGTGAGTAGTTGATATTCTTTCCCCAACCTTCTCCTGTTTAGGGTGCCAGACTTCCAGACCTATTAAGAGCCCCAGGATTTCCCAAGCCACTCCTCAGCCTGTTAGGACCTTGGTGTCCAAAAGACAGCTGAAGGAGAGTGCCTGCATCTATCCCAGCCCACTCTCACAGTACTCCAATTGCCAGCCCTTCTTTGGTGATCTCCTTTCAGGATCTGAATTCGGATCCCAGTGGCAGCCCTCACACCCCTGGGGGAAAGAGTAGGAAAAGTTCCATCAATCTCCTGAGGGGAGAAGCAAGTGGATACCAGGATGTGAGATGTCTGTGAGCTAGGTGCCTCTTATTCCATGTGGGGCTATGGGATTTGGACTATGTCAGTAAGCCCCTTCCCCCAACAACTCTTTGTCAGCCCGAAGGCAGGCTCCAAACCCCTGACAAACTGAGGGTGACTGCCCCTACTTAATTCTTTGTCCTCAAGTCTTTTAGTGTCTGTTTTTCTTTTTCCCTCTTTCCTGCCTGGGGTTGCAACAGCTGTCCTGAGACCCCAGCATGACTCACTCTCTCCTCTTCCTCCTCCTTCTCCCCTCTCTATTAACCCTGCCCTTTCCAATCCAGTGGAGTAGTATTGAGTCTGTGCTGCAAATGAGGCAGGCTTTCTTTTTAGATAGGCTTCTGAGGCTTCAGCTTAGTCCCTTAAGTGCCCTTGCACCCTTCTCCCCACAGACCCAGGGCTCCCTACTCCTATCTTCACCCTGAAAAGCAAACAAAGGCTCATTACCTAATGAGATTTTTATTTAAGTTTTCCTTAGTAACCTCGTTTTAGAAGGTGGTAAAGAAACATCTCACTGCCCTCAACAAAAGCCTGGAGATTTCTTTAGTTACCCCAACAGAGCCATTCTCCTGCCTAAAATTGGCCATTCTTCAAAGGAAAACAGGTAGAGTCCTCAAGATTCTTGAGCACATGAGTTCTCTCCCTTGTCCTCTTGCAGGCTTTCCAACACCCTCAAGACATTCATGGATGGATGAGAGGAGTGTATACTGACTTCCCACTCTGTGACCACCTCCTCTTGGACCATGGAAAAAGCCTTGCTGCCCCTCACTGTGACAGGCAATCCCAGGCCCTTTAATCAGCAACTCCCAGAGCCTCCAGACCCAAGATGTGCCTTGGAACCCCAGGACAACCCTGAACTGGCACCTGCCCTGGTGTGTGCCCTTTGCTGCTGCTTTGGAATCATCTACTGCTGCTTTGGTGAGGGCAGGGCCAAGGTCCTGGGGGGCAGCTGCCCAAGACTGTTGCACTCAACGATGATGCCAACTGTCATCTTTGTTCCTGGCCCTCTTCCCACTTCTGTCAGGGGATACCTATCTTCAGAATGGCCCATTCTGCCCTTGCTAGCTTCTTGCCCAACAAGCCTTCTAGCTCTGATCTCTGTGATCTATCATTTGCCTTCCTATGCCTCCTACCTCAAAACTTCATTCCCAGTTATCCTCCATGCTTGAGACTTCTTTAATTTCCCCAGAAACCTGAATCAGCCCGTGGTGATTTCTTCCTCTAGCCCTTCTCCAGAAGGACTAGACCTTCCTGTACTTTCAGTGAATCTCTCTTGCCTCCTGATTTTCCCTCCCATCCCCTCACGGTTCTGAAACACCCCTCCTCCATTCTTAAGCTTGTCCTTTTCTTCCTCTTGCCTTGAGGTCCCCTTGGCATGCTACTTCTGTCTTATGCTCCTCTGGTTAGCTTCCCTTTCCCAGTTCTCCCAGATCATCCCTGAACAACCCCCTTTCTGCCTCTCAGTACCTCTTGCCTCCCTTCCCAGGCTACCGCTGCTTCAAGGCAGTGATGTTTCTCTCGGGCCTGCTGTCTGGAGCTCTGGTGATCTTCCTGCTGTGCCACAAGGAGCAGGTGCTGGAGACACAGCTGAGCCTGGAGGTGAGCGCAGGCATTGCACTGGGCATTGGCCTCCTCTGTGGCTTGGTCACCATGCTGGTTCGCAGCGTTGGGCTCTTCCTGACTGGTCTCCTGCTAGGTCTGACCCTGGGCACTGGGGCCCTGCTGGCCACTGAGCCCATCTACCAGCCACCTTCAGCCTGGGTTCCAGCCGGAGGACTGGTGGGTCTGGCACTCCTGGGAGCCCTGCTGACACTTCGGTGGCCTCGTCACTTCACAATTCTGGGCACAGCCCTGCTGGGTGCTGCAGTGCTAGTGGCCTGTGCTGACTACTTCCTGGAGGGACTGGCACTGGGCAATCGGCTGGGCCAACGCCTGCAGGCACTTCCAGCATCGCCTCCTCTCTGCTGGTATAGCTGGGTCTTGCTGGGGACCTGGCCAGCCTTGGGGGCTCTTGGGGCCCTGGCCCAGTGGAAGCTCATGTCTGAGGAACGTGGAGGTCATGCCAATGGTGAGTTAGTGCTGTGGTGTAGAAACAGCCAACCTGTGCCTACTTGTGTCCCTGTTTCCCAAACTCCAGAGAAAGGGGAGGAATTAGTCTTTAGGGACAAGAATGGGGAGGATATCCAAGCTAGATGGGACAGGGCATTAAAAAAAGTTAGACTTAAAGTAGCCAAAGGAGATCTGGTTCAAAATGAGAAGAGAAGTTTTCAGGAATTACAGGGGCAAGTTATTTGGGACTGTTGTGAGTGGAAAGGAAGATCCTAGAAGGACAAAGTAGGAGAAATCCAGTAACTGAGGGTGAGTTGAGGCTTGAGAGAACATAACAGAGAGTTCAAATGGGTTTCTATAGAGTATGTGTTTGGGAGTGGAATTCAGGGCCTCAAGAGGCCTCCTTGAGTCTGAATTACCCCTTCCAAAGCAGTAGTCTTGAGCCACCAGCGAAGGCATCTCCAGCTTCTTCGGATCCATTCACAAGAGGCCAAGTGGCATCGGACCGCCTCTGGGGTGGGAATGTGTGAGGGCAGCTATCGGCATCAGCTGCCCCCCAGTGCTCGGAGCCCTGCTGACAGTCTGGCTCCAGTGAGTGTGGGGATGGGGCACCCGGAGGGATGGGGCAGCGGGTATATGGGGATGGTCAAGGTGAGAGGGGCTGTGACCCAGGGCCCTCCTTCTGCCCTTTTGCCCTGTACCTCCTCAGAGTTATCTCCAGAGTCTTCGAGACCGCCAGCTGGGACCAAGCACCCTGGCCACAGCTCCCAACACCATCCTGGACCTGGATTCTGACTGTGGTTCCACTGTACCCCTCGCCACACCCCCTGGTTCAACCCAGACCTGAGCCTCTCAGGCCCCACCCTAATGAGGGCCCACAGCACCCATACACAAACTTCTCCACCTCTTGGATTTGGGGATAGGACCTGTGCTCCAGACCAGCCTTATAGGGATATGTTTCAGGGACAGGAAGAGAAGAATCTTTCAGAGAGGGGAGAGGCACGGAAGTATGACTATCTACCTCTGTCCAATAATAGAGGTGCCCTGCTCCCTTGAGAAACTGACTCCCTAATTCCCTCCAAAGCAAGGAGGGCTCTTACGCAAGTAAATATCCATCTCAGTGTGCCTCCCAATGGTAAAATAAGAGGCTTTGTTTTTATAGGACCTATAGAAAATCAGGGAGCCTCCTAAGGCATTTGATAGCTTTTGATGAGAATAGCACAAAAGAGTTTCAGAATTCCCCAGATCCCTCATTAAGGAGTTGGGCTTCTGGTTGCCCTTTCACTTTGTACCCTATAGGCTTGAGCCCCCTTTTCCTACCTCAGTGGGGAGCAGTATCCTCTATGGTGCTTCCCCTTCTCTCCTCAGCCTGGGGAAGATCACAGTACCTGCCTCAGCACCCACCTTCCAAAAAGCTGGCTTCTTGCTCCAAGAAGATAGCATTGACCTACATGTCAGAGTCTTTCCCTTTTGCCCAAAGGAGTCTGGTCTTAAGGCCTGCATGGGAGAAAAGTGCCTTCTCTACCTGTCACTGTGGGTGATACTAACTCCCTCCTTAACCAGAATTTTATTGCAGCCACTGACCCCTTCTAACTCTACCCCCTCTGACTCTCCTGCCCACAGTCTGTTCCCTGGTTTCCCAGACAGCATGAAGGAAGGAAGACATATCCTTCCCCTGGGCAGCAGGGCTATGGTGGGGGGAGGAAGAACAAAGGACCGTGTGAATAAAGTGGCATTGAAAACTGAACCAGGAAATTCTGCCTCTACTGTTGCTGCTATTTTGTTTTTTCTGTATCCTCAAAGAGGTAGCCATATTAATAAACCTGTCCCCTAAAGGATCTGATAGGAGTACCCTTATCAGACAGCACTGTAGTAGCTGTACACCCAGACAGCTAGACGAAGAGCTGTTCAGTCCTCTCTTAGAAACACAGAATTAGCCTTTATTAACCACAAACGATCCAGACTCTGTGCCAGACACTTCACATATACATGGTATTTCAATAAATGCAACAACCATGCAGAATTGATATTTACTTTACTAATGGGGAATCCAGGAGTCAGTGAGGTTAATTAACATGTCCAAAGTCACAAGCAAGCAAATGTGATTCTCGAGGATTCCAGAGCCTTGCTCATTTTACTGGCCATCATATTTTCTTGCACTTTATCTAGGATAAACAAGGCCCAGGTATCCAGCTTCCTTGGCTGCTGCATCCTGTCAGCTAAAGGCCTGATTGACACATCGCTCCACCACTGTCTTCCAGAGAGGAGATGACACAGTTGGAAGTGCTATCTAAGACTATCTAAAATGAGAAGAAACTGGGTGGAGTAGGGGCTGAATCACGATAAAGGAGGCACCTCTCTGGAGAGAAAGAGCACAGGAGAGTAGTGGCTGGAGTTGAAACTTTTAGAGGCCAGAAATCTGGTTTATGACCCTGCTATAGCTCTAAGAAACAGACATGTGATTCCATCTTAGGCCTCCGGAAAGGTGACATTAGCAAGTAGTGAAAGCATGGTGGAGTCTGTGGCTGAGGAAGTGACATCCAAGACTGTGTCAGCATTGGTGCTGGTATCCATGGCCAAGGGAGTGGTGTCCCCTGCTGATGAGGTAGTGCCTGGGGTGTGAGGGTGACAGTGCATCCAGTTGTGGGCTGTGTTTCTTGGATAGCCTTTCTCTACTCGAAGCTGCCTGTTGAGGCGCCAGTACTTTACACCCTTGAAGAAGTAGACTCGGCCATCTCGCCAGCTCATGGCAGCCGAGGGCTGGTTTGGCACTCCAGTAAACAACTCCTTGATTGGTTTAGGGTAGCGGCTGAAGTCATTTGGGGCCAGCTCGTCCCATTGCCAGTAGCCAGAGCCCTGGGTAGAGGGTGGATGTGGAGAAAAGCATAATGAAGACAGAATTGAGAGACCCGCTAGAGGTCCACCCTCAGCCCACTGCAACTGCAAAGATGTATGAGATAGCCTGCCCCTTTGTACCTTAAAGAGGAACACTTTTTGGTTGACAGGCCAATAGAGAGCTGCATCCAAGTTGGGTTCTACCTTATTCAGTTTCGTGGGGAAACCAGGAGACATCTTGAAATTAATGTAGCGCCACACCTTGTCTCCTGAGAGTGTATAAGGAAAAAACAAATCACCTCCATCCTCACGTGGTAGCTTTTGGTCCCTCAATTCCACCCTTTTGTTTTTGTTTTTGTTTTTTGTTTTTTTGGTACCAGGGATCGAACTTGGGTCCTTGCGCTTGCAAGGCAGGCAGCGGAACCACTGAGCTAAATCCCCGGCCCTGTTTTGTTTTTTTGAGGCAGGGACTATGTACTTCAGGCTGGCCTTGAACCCATTATGTAGCTCAGGCTAGGCCTCAAACTCCCAACAATCCTCCTGCCTCAGCCTCCTGAGTACTAAGATTACAGGCTTCTAACACCATGCCTGGCAATTCCACCCTTTTAGAAACTTCTCAACTCTCCCTTCCTTTTGTGGCTTCTTTATGACTAGCCCCTCCTCAGATAAGACACTACAGCTAGCCCCCTTACCCTTAAAGAAGTGAATCCACTGTGTTCGAGGAGAGTAGACAGCAGCATCCAGCTTTCCTGGAAGCCCATTCCAAAGGTCAGACACTAAGAACAAGGGGCCCAGCCCTGAATCTGTCACAGTCCACACGTAGTCTCCCTTGAAAGCATAGGTCTTCCCATGGGGCCCTGAGAGCAAAGGTGTGTCAATGAGTCAAAAAGACAAAGACCTGTGAGTATCTCAGGTAGGCTGATAACTTTCCATCCCTCTCATGAGCTGATTCTTCAAAACTTCTTCCAATTTTAATTCAAGAAGAAGATTAAAGGTAGAGGAGGAGAACCCATGTTCAGCTTCTCCCTTGTTTTTCAGACTATTTTAGCCCTGGCCTACTCAGCAAAAACAAAACCACTGTAGATAGTTGTAACAACTTGGGAACATCTTGTTCCACGTGGCTTCCAATTTGTTCTTCCAATGAGGTGCAGAGCCCTCTCTAATAGGCATTCTAGCTAATTCCATTTTGCTGCATTTCCGTGTGTGTTCTAGTAGCCCTTACAGGGTGGCAACCTTCATAAATTTCTGCTTTGCCCCTTTAAATTCAACTTTTAACCCTCCCTATCTATACTGCATATCTTCTTCCATAGTCACCAACCTCTGCTTGAGGTCTGACCTCCATTGCTCATGCTGTGGCATCATGTCATTCCCATTTGTCCAAGCCTTCAGGTCAATGCTTGGCCCCACTGCCTGTCTATAGCTTGAAGGGGAAAGGCCTCACCCAGCATCATGGCATCCAGTTCACCACTGCAGGGGCTTGGCATGGGACTGAGCTCTCTGGGCACTGGGGGTACAGTGGGCACCTCCATCTCTTCTTCCTCATCCCTTGTCTCTGGGTTCTTCTTGCCTGCAAGATGAAACAATGCTGCTGTGGGAGAGAAGTGATAGCACCCACTGTCTACTGTTCGCTCTGCTCGATGCTCCCATAGAAAGGATAAAGGGAACTCTTAGGGAGTTTTTCTTGGTGGTGGGTATTTTCTTGGTGGTGCATATTGACATCAGCAAGAGACACGTATGAGTTTTGAGAAGCAACCAGAAAGGGAGGAGGCTTCCTGAGACCTGCATTCTCCAACTCTAAGGTAAGGTGAAAGGCCTGGAAGGAAGATTAGACATGACAAAGTTGGCAAGAAACCATTCCTGAAAGTGAAGAAGCCCATGGAACTGGGCCAGAGGAAGAAAAAGAAGGTATACCATTACCCTCCATGGATGAAGCTGACCCTCACGCTCACAAGGGAGAGGGACTGACCGTAGAGAGCTTGGATCCCTGCCACGTCATCTGAGTGCAGCTCGAAGTAGGGACGGTATCCAGCATAGACAGGGGCCATGAGTGCCTGGGTGTATCGGGAGTGGCCAAGTCCCAGGGCATGGCCCAGTTCATGGGCAGCAATGATGCGCAGGTTCACCCCCCGATAGGTCCCCTCGGTCCAGAGTTCATCTTCATCGAAGTGTACACTGCCCAGCTCAGGGATGTCAGCATGGGCCAGCACCCTCCCTGCATGAAGACAAAGGTGTACAGAAAAGTCAGAGCCCAGAGTGCTGGAGCATACCCTGCCTGTCATAAACTAGAAGTACTCTTTCCTGAAATGCCCCTAGCTGTATTCACTCTCTCTGGGATGCTTCTTTCAGATTCCTTTGTTGTCATCCAGTTTTCTCATGGATGCCCATCACAGACTCTTTACCCCTCTCCCAGCCACTCTCTCTTCTGTGGCCCACCCCTCTTTTCACATGTTCCTCGATGGGATTTAAGCCAGGAAAGGAGGTATCAGCTTCAAAGAGGAGGCTTGGTAAGACTCTAGGCAGGCAACAGACTGCCCCTTTAGGGAATATTAGAAGGGGGTCAGATTGCATAGGGTGCAGGAGGGTATAAAGGGCAGCCTGAATATTAAGGTTCCAAAGTCATAGACTCAAAGAAATAGAAGGAATCTCAGAAGTCTGGGAAGTGAAAGCTGAGGACTGCCGCCTACCTGGCCCATCAAAAGTATTGGAACAGTATGGGCTTTGGCGGCCATGGAAGGAAAGGCGGATGTCAGCCCGGCCAGCTTGCACCTCCCGAAAGGTCAGGGGGGTCACACTGCTCCAATACTTGAAGGCTCGAAGCAGGGCCACCCGGGCTGTGTGGGGTGGGAGGGTGGAGGGCAGGTTCAAGATGCGGAAGGTCAGGTGCTTTTTTCTCCATCGCCCTGGTTAACGGACCAGAAAATACATTTGAAACAAATCCTTCTCTATGTTGGAAACACAGATCCTTCTTCTAACCCCAGAGAGCTCCTCTGGGTATGGGCTCTCACAACCTCTCTGGACAGATAATAACCAGGTAATCACCAGGTGTCCTGATGCCACCACACTCCAGAGCCACAACATCCTCTGCTTGCCCTCCTATTCCCAGGCGCAGTCCTCACCCAGCAATAGGTATTTGAGGGTCTTCTGGTTGAAGGGGTCCTCCAGGCCACAACGAGGCAGCCGCATGCGGGCCCTTGTGGCATCATCCAGCTGACCTGAGACTGGCAGCTCAGATGCTTCCTGAAAAGCTCTGGAAAGGGAGAAGGATGTGTCTACCAGGGCAGGTGAGTCTGGAATGACTAAGAACTGGAGATGTCACTTTGGCCTCCTGCTGCCCAAGGTGGTGACCAAGAATGGCATAGAATCTCTGAACTTAAACAGAGTCACTCGAGCCTCTCATCCTCATAGTTAGGCCTTTCTCTTCTGTTCTGTAGAAATGGCAACAGTCTAACTTCACCACTCAATGTCTCTCTCTCTTTCTCTCGATCTCTCTCTTTCTCTCGATCTCTCTCTTTTTTTTCCTTTCAGTACTAGGGACTGAACCCAGGACCTTCCCTTTGGACTACATTCCCAACCCTTTTTTGAGACACGGTCTCACTAAGTTGCCCAGGCTGAGCTGAAATTTTCGGTCCTCCTCCTTCAGCCCCACAGAGTGCCACCAGCACGCCCAGCTGTCAGTATCTTTTATTCAAGTAAGATTGCCCTAGACTGTAGATTTCCTCCCCTACTACAATTTCTAAACTTCTGCTCTGGAGAAGTGGCCAGCCCCCTCTGGAGATCTTCCCCCTTGCTCTCCAATTCTCCACCAGCACCTGTCCTCCTTGGCCTTCTCTCCTCCTGGCTGGACCCACCTCCAGCCCAGCCTGGTCTGGGGCAATCCCATCTATCTATGGACTACCATAAATTATACTTCATGTGGACTGTACCTAAATATTAGTGTCTGGGATGTGATGTGGGAAGAGCATCCAAAGGAGCGCTTAGGGCCTAGTAGATCCAATGACTGTGCTCCTCATCTTGAGTCCCCATCCCACCCTATGTGCCACCACCCTAACATTGGTAGCACCCATCCAACAGAACCCCAATGTGGATTTGGGTCAGGCAGAGGTGGGCCTGAGGAGAGAAAAGGGTGAGGAGAAGATCTTGCAACTTCAGCTCTGACCTTGTGACCTTGTGACCTCTCACCTCAGAGCCTCTGTGACATCTTCTGGCCTGAAGTTATCACGTCCTTCTAGAGGCTTCTGCAGGTACCCATACTGCAACAGGTAATCCTATGATGGGGAGGAGGTAAGCATGGCAAGAGGGAGTTAGCCTCAAAGCAAAGGTTAAAACCTTTAAAGTTAAAAACTGACCTAAGAGACCCATTAGGAGAGGTGGGAACAGATACAAAGGACTAGAGGAGGGACAACTTAGAGAATGGGCTCAGGTAGAACAAGAGGAAGGACCAGGGGGTGGGAGGGTGGACCATGGAAGAGAGGAAAGAAGGGAGAAGCAAGCACTTCCCAGGGCAGGAGGCAGGCTTCCGTGCATCAGTGTAGTGGTTCCCCTGTCACTCCCCTGGCTGGCTCCTTCTTCCCCAGGGGACTCACCACAGCTGACTCCTCTGCAGGTCCCAGGGCCCGGCCTGAGACTGTCATGGGGAGTAAGAAGCCCAGCCACAGCTGCCACCACATGATCCCTGCAGACAAGAGCTCCAGAGGCTGTCTGTGCTCTCTGACCTCAGATTTCTGGGAGCCTGAGACAGCACAGCTAGGCAAGGGGCTCTTGCCTACAGCTCTTTTCACTTACCAGTCCTCTTTATAAAACTCCAACTCGGGGGAATGGGGGGTGGCAGTGGGAGGTGACTCAGCCCAAAGATGTGTTGCAATCTACCATTAACCCCTGCCTCACCAGGGAGCAGAAGCCAAGAAGAGCCCCTCACACCCCCTTCCCCTTCAGAGTCTTCTGTGGAGACAGGAAGACATTTTTGCTCCAGGGTGGGCCTCCTGGCAGGATGAGAAGCAGTCTCTGGACAGGAGCAGGGCTGCCCACTGGAGTTAGACATTCCTGTGTCTCAGAGACCCTGGGCCAGTAACACCTCAGCTCAACCTTCAAGTCTCCCTGCTTGCTCTTCAATAGGAAAAAATAAATGAAAGCAAAGAGGTAGGAGACAGCTGAGTCAGCTTGGATTTCAAGTGAGTGGAGTCTTAGTTTCTTTACACCCCAAACTGAGTTGGGAATTTAAATGGTCTTGAGGGCTACTTATGTCTGCTTTAAGGAAAAGTCATTATTTCAAGCATTAATGAGCCTGGAATTGGGGGGTCGGAGGTTGGGGGGTAAGCAAGGGCACAAACAAGGGTCCAGAGCCTGTCTTTGGAGAGCTTACAGGTAGGTTGAGGGACACCCCAGGAAAGAGGGGAGCCAGGATACCAGACAGGAAGTGGCCATCTAAGCATCACAAGGATGTGGAAAGGTTTGCTGGGAAGGCAGGATTGGAGTTGGGCTTTGAAGAGTGCCTAAGAATTAGATGGGCAGGAAAGTGCAGGGGCCAGGAAAGTGCAGAGCTGAGAGCCTGGTATGTTCCATGACAGTGAAGGGTTGTGATTGCTTCTTCATAACTACCCTGGGCTGGCTCCGTGCTTTAGAGGGGTGCCAAATAAATCTTTATCAAATGATGGGGGTGGGTTAGGAACTGGAGTTTAGAGAGGACCTTGAATGATACGTAAGGAAAACAAGAAAAACTTAAATTTACAAATATCTACTACTTTCTCATTTAATTCTCACAAATATCCTCTGAGAAAGGAATTGTCCTGGCCGTTCCTCTTTCTTTCTTTCTTTCTTTCTTTCTTTCTAAGAGATGGGATCTCAACCAGGCTGGGCCTAAATTCCTGGGCTCAAGTCTCCTGCTTCAATCTCCTGCATAGCTGGGATTATAGGCATATGGCCCTGCTCCTGGCTGTTTTATAAAAGAAAATGAAGGGGCTGGGAATGTAGAGTGGTACAATGCTTACCTAGCATGCCCAAGATCCTAGGTTTGACCCCCAGCACCTCAAAAAAAAAAAAAAAAGAAAGAAAAGAAAAAGGAAGTGGAGATAAGAGAGGGAAACTTAGGCAAGAACATGGTGCTCCTAACTGGCTTAGCCTATATTCAGATTCTTCTGCTGACCCTGTCACACATGCACTTTTCAGATACTATGAGGACTCTTAAAACTTTGCTCTTAAGTAGTAGGAGACACTGAAGGTTCCACTGGCACTGACGCATTGCACATTGGACAATGTTCACATGCTCAGGAACAGGAGGGAGGGTGACTGAAGTTCTGCTCACAGTGGGACCTCACTTCTGAGCCGGTCCGCACACCTCGGGGAGAGGCCACACACTGGGAACCCTCACACTGCAGGATCCAGAAGGGGGATTCTCTTGACTCATGTTGCTGCCCTCAGTGATGCTGGCTCTGTGACCCACCTGGCACTGGATAATAAGTGGGTGACTAAGTCTCAGATGACCAGTGATAGGCAGAGGGAACAGAGAATTTCTGAGCAACGAGTGACAGGGACCATCACCAAAGCTGAAACACCCAGGAAATGACGGAGGCTGGGGATTAGTTCCTGCTCAGCCCCCAGCAGGGTTCTTTCTCATCCCTTTTCTCCTTTTTTCTACCTCCAATCCTGTTACTCATTCTGGTCTCCGAAGGCCTGAGAGGGAGCTGGTGTGTGTGTGTGTGTGTGTGTGTGTGTGTGTGTGTGTGTGTGTGTTTGTAAAATACTAAAAGCTGTCAAATAGTCTAACCTCATTTAACCTCAGTAACAACCCTATGCCTCAGTATTTATCACCTTTTCACTGAAAAAGAATGCATCTGCCAGTAGGAGCAGAGTCTAGTGCTTTTTAGTCTCTCAGGAGCTCCCACAGACACTCAAACAAATCCTGAAAGCTGCAGACTAGGCCCTTGGGCAAGGCCTGCATGACTAATTCTGCTCCCACTGTGCCTCATCATTACCAACCCTGCCACCCCATCCCCACCCTCTGCCAGGCTGACCCAGCTCTTTTTCTCTCTAAATTTGTCATTTCTTGCTGAGGGACATGTGGGAATGTGCACAAAGGGTTAGGACATGTGGTCAGCCTTTCCCAAAAGAGAACTTAACTCCAAGAGAAGAAACTCCTAGGCTCTTCAGTTTGCTCACTCCCTGCAAGCTGATTTCCCTCTCTGCCGCCAACTGTGGCAGAAGAGTTTGTGTAGAAGTATTTTTAATGAGACTGTGCAGGAGGAAGTAGGAAGACTTCTGAGAGCATTTACTAATGACCAGAGACCATGGAGTTCTGGGTGGCGGGCAAAAGTGTAAAAGGTTTCTAGGTCTAGGAGAAACCACTCTCTTAACCATCACCTACCACCTAACCCACATACAGCCACCCTTACCCAGCAGAGGCAGGCAGGGCTGGAGATCCTGGTCTATACAGGTCTGAAACTGAGAAGCAGAGGGGTGAAAAACACATTTGAATCAAGCTGAGGCTGGCCCAGACCATGCCCTTGATCCAGAGAAAGATGAAAGGTCACCCTCAGATACCTGAAGAGGTCAGGAGAAAAGGAGCTTTCCTTGCCTTCCCAGCTGTTACCTTGGAAACTTCTGTTTTTAAGGATACACACAACATACAATCACACACTCATTTAATTAGTCATAAGTTCCTAGAGACCATACGGGAAGTGATGGCCAGAACTGTGCACAGCTGGAACTGGTTAGTGACCAGGCAAGTGGGAGGGGCTTGAGGATGACTCTGGAATGGGCCCAGTGCACTCTGTTCCCATGATGACCCACACTTCCTCAGCAGCCCCTCCCCTGTGCACACTTTCTGGCATTCCTACCTATCCACTCCTGAGCTCACACGTACCTACTCCAGCCCTGGCCTGAATCAGTTCAACAGGGAGAACATCATACACAAATCTTGAACTTCAGTTCCTGCCCAAGTATAGGAGAGACTAAGATCTGCTGCCCTTCTCCAATTTACAGAAAAAGGAGTTTTCTCATGGGATGCTCCCAGAAACTGATAGAAGGCTCTTCTGGGGGTCTTATTACACCACACAGTACTGTTGCATGCAAGAATAAATTCTAGCTGCTGGAACAAGGACAAGAGAGGAGTTTCAGTGTTTTCTTGGCCACTCCTGGCTACTGGGATAAAAGGGAAATAATGATAGCACAAGAGCGTTTGCTTCTCCTGAAATGGCAGCCATTGAATAAAAAACAAATTGATTTTTATTACTTTTATTAAACAGGGTGAGTTGGAGGAGAGAACTCTGGCCTCCTGTCCACATACTGTGACCTCAGCAAACAGATCTGTCCTGATGTTTGCAAAGTTTCAGGGGCCTGGAAAAATCTGTGTTTGGCTCCCTTTTCTGTTGACAAAGGCCTTGATAGCAGGTGGCAGGGCAAGGGCACCATCAACTTTCCATTTTGAAGAAGGTAGTAACTAGGGGGAGGGAGACCTGGGAAAGACCCAGCTCTGTCTCTCCCAGGCCAGAGACTACAGAGAGAGCCATTAGGAGGTGAGGCTGCTGGGGGTGGGGGGTGGTCCTTGATGGCAGATAAATATAGGGAGGAGTCCATTTTGGCCCCATTTTGTTCCTCACTGAAGAAGGAAGAGGGCCTTTGGCAGTGTGATTTTGGGTGATTTTTTTTTTTTTTTTTTTTGGTACCAGGTCCCCAACTCGGGTCCTTGCACTTGCGCAGCAGGTGGCAAAACCACTGAGATAAATCCCCGGCCCTTGGGTGATTTTTAATTGAATTCATTAATTTGCCAGTGGGAGAAGGGCTTATGCTCTGTAAAAGTATATACTGAACCTGGTGATGAAGAGAGACCTAAAGGATTCTAAAGTGCTAAAAAGGCACAATTTCAGTTTGAGTATGAGCTATGTACAACTTTTTAATAATGAACACACACACACACACACACACACCCTATCTGTGAAAGAAGTTTTTGAAGTGGGTCATAGGAAAAGATAACTAAGAAAGCGGACTTTTGATCCTAAGGAAGACTGTATTCTCAGGATTTTTTCCCCAGTACTGGGGATTGAACCCAGAGAGCACTGACCTATATCCCCAGGCCTATTTATTGTTTCATTTCATGACAGAGTCTTGCTAATTCACTAAACTGCCCAGGCTGACCTCAAAATTATGATCATCCTGCCTTAGACTTTTTTTTCTTCTGCCTCAGCCTTTTGAGTAGCTAGGATTATAGGCTTAAACTTTTCTACCTAAATACCCCAAGTATATTATGACAATATATGCTTCAGAGGTAGAGGTGTGTGCATAGTAACTATGATGGTTACCTCTTCAGTTTTGTCATCTCATAATGATTACCCCTTCTCTGTCTTCCTTCTAAGGGGATAAGTGGATGGCTTCCAGCAGCCATGTTTATACTATATAAAATTTTGTCTTCCTATACCAGTTGAATTAGATATAAATACCTAAGCCAAGCAGATTTATTTCTCCCAACCCTAAGAAAATTGGGATTCGGTCTAAGGCAGAAATAAGTTAGACACTTACATAACTGGATCTGAAATATGTGAAGCTCAGGCAGTGAGTTGTGGCCACTTTTCCCCTTGAGGATGGAGAAATAAAGAAACCCAAAGCAGAGGGTCTCACACATGACAAGAGGAGAGATGAGAACAGACCTAAATTAGTGCTTCATGGCAACTTCAATTTACCTGTTCCGGAGGCCCAGTAGCATTCTTGCCCTTCATTCTGTGGAACACTATGGATCTCAAGAACTTGTTTGGAGGTTTTAGCAGGGGAGCACAGCTCTTCATATGCCCTTGACATAGCCCTTTTCAGATCCTCCTATAT